CTTTTGGTTTCACCGCTGCTGCGCAGATGTCCGTCACTCTCTGTCCGTTGCCCTATTGGCGTCGAACGGACGCGGGGGCAGACTGCGTGTGTGCCCTTCGGTGGGCAAAGGGCACGTTCTGCGTCTTTTTTCTCCCTCGTTGCCCCGCATGCAGTAATACTTTTTCCCGCTGCTTTGCCGCCTCCACCTCTCACTCCTCACGCGCGTCTTGTCCCCCGCGGTGCCTGCACCGAGCAAAGGAGAGAGAAAGGGGGCGAGGGACGGAGAGGCGAAAAGGAAGAAAAAAAGAAAAAGAAAAACAAACAAACCGGCACAAACAAGGACGCATAAAAGGAAACCGGCGCCGTTAGCCGTGGGGGGTGCATCTTCGAAGGAGGAGGGAACGTGAGTGGTGAGGCCGCCGCTTTCCCTCGTTTTTGCTTTCTCCATATTTTTTTCCCCACAGACACACACACGAATTTGAGAAGTGCCCTTTGGCTGATAAGACGCGCTCATCTACTTGCATCATTCCTTTTCTCTGCCCGTGCGTGTGTGTGTGTGTGAAGGAGTGCAGTGGGACGGGAGGTGCAATGAAGCGCCGCGCACGCGTCGTTTCCCACGCATCGGTGGTCGCCGACGATGAGCCGCCGACCCGTGGCGACGCTAAGGCCGCTATTAACGGCGCTAATAATAAGACCCCCCTCGACGACGCAGCAAAGACGCCGTACATTCCGCCCCCAGCGGCCAGCTGCAGCCTGTTTTCGTGCTTTCAGCAGCGGCGCAGCGACTTCAGCGGGGAGTGGCTGATGATGGAGGAGGAGGCGGCGCTGCCGCTGGTGCCGCCCATCTCCCCGGCGTTGACACAAAAGTTGCGTGAGCATCAGGACACCAGACAGAGGCAGCGAAGCGGCGCCGATGGCGGCAGCGGCGGCAAGGAAACGGCACAAGCAACGACGGCGCCAACAACCAAATCCAAAGCCAAGTCAGCAGCATCCGCGGCCGACGGGGAGGGAGATGCGGGCGGTGCTGGGGGCGGGGGACGCACACCGCAGGGGGCGGAGGCAGAGAAGCCAGCCGGCAATGGCGCCGACGACGAGGGGATCCGTGGGGACTACCTTAGCCTTCTCCCCGCCTCCGGAGCGCCGGCGGACGTCGCCAGGAGTGACCTGCAGGCCACTCTCACGCTGCGGGAGGGCCGGGACGGGTTGGTGGTGCCCGCCGCTGCCTCCGCGCAGTCGTCGCGCCCCGGGTTGAGACCGGCGGCTTTGTCGCAGCAGCGTGTGGTGCCGCTTTGGAGCGTGGAACGCTACACAGCACGCGGCGGCTACGCGTCAAACGCGGCGATCGCGCTGCATCAAGAGATCTGCGACTTTTTGAACTACCTGCGCCCCTCTGAGGCGGAGGTTTCTATGCGAGAAATTATCGGAATGGAGGTGCGGGCGATCGCCAAACGGCTTTGGCCCGGCTGCGAACCCATCGTCTTCGGCAGCGTGTTTACGGGGCTCCTGCTGCCGCTCTCTGATCTCGACATGACCATTCTGAACGTGCCAGTGTCGACGGAGGAGGCACTGAGGGCGCTAGCGCGTGAAATCAGCCGTGCAGAGTTGTGCCACGCCGCCTACCCCCAGCTTATCCTCAAGACGAAGGTCCCACTAGTAAAGTTTCAGCACCGGCATTCCTTGTTGGACGTGGACATCAGCATCAACGCCGAGGATGGACAGAGAAATTCCGCCATTGTAGCAGACATGCTTCGCAGCTTTCCCGAGGCACGCCCCTTGACCGTGCTGGTGAAATACTTTCTGCAGCAACGCGGGATGCACGAGCCTTACCATGGTGGGCTTGGATCCTTCGCGACCACCCTGCTCGTGATTAGTTTCCTGCAACACCACCCCATTTACACGGAGCGGCCCGAGGAACGGGCCTACACCGGCCTTGGGAGGCTACTTGTGGACTTCTTTCGCTACTATGGCATGTACTTCAACTACAGCCACTGCGGTATCTCACTGCTGGACGGCGGTCGGTACTTTCGCCGCAGCGACACGTCTGGGGTGGCGTCTAGCAGCCTGCCGGGCCAACGCCCCTCGTTGGGACCCACGCAGGTGATGATAGAAGATCCAGGCTGTACGCAAAACAACGCCGCGAGTTCGCTGCGCAACTTTCATGTGATCACCTCTGTCTTTACCCATGCGTATATGGCGTTGACAGCGGTATTTGATGCACCGGCTGGCGCCGCAGCGGACTTTTCGCCGGACTCCACGGAGATTGCGCGACGCCCGACGTTGCTTTCCCGTATTCTGCACGTGGATGCGCCTAGCGTTGCGCGGCGCCAGTCGATTGCGGCCGCGTACGAGGCGCTTACGCAGGACCCTGCCCAAAAGGAGAAGCTCCTGGCGGCGGTAGCAGCCGGCAGCAAGGAGGAAGTGCTTGCACTGCAAAAATTTCGCCTGCGGGAGGGGACATCATTGCGAGGAAGCACGAAAACTTGGGGGCAGAAGCGCAGCCGCAGCGGCTCCACCGGTTGCAGCAGCAGCAGCAGCAGCAGCAGAGGAAGTGTCACCTCCACGAGCAGCGCATCGTCGAATGGCAGTTCGGTTCGTGTGGTTTCCCGTCGTCTTCGTCGTTGATTTCCTCCTGTGCGCCTCTCTCTCTGCGTGTACGAGGGATGTGTTCGGTTTTTTTTTTCCTTCTTTTTTCCTTTTCTTTTTTTCGTTTCCGCTCTCTTCTTGCCGAGGTGAGGG